TTTAAGATTTCACCTTACCCCAGTCAGACTGGCTAAGATCAAGAGAACAAATGATACCAAATGTTAGAGAGGATGTGGGGAAAGGTGAACACTCATCCACTGCTGGTGGGGCTGCAAACTTGTTCAACCCCTATGGAAAGCAGTGTGGAGAACTCTTAAAAAAACTACAAATGAACCTACCATTTGACCCAGTTATACCACTCCTTGGCATATACCCAAAGAACTCATCCTATTGCAGAGAGGTGGGCTTTTAATTGAAGATGCTGGACTGTTTATTTAGGGAAGTCCCTTTTGTGAAATAATCAACCACCCTACATCTGTTGTTTTTTTCTTGAGTTCCCATTATTTTGATTTTCCACTACTATTACTGATTTTTTTTTTTTTACTGTTAAGTCTAGAAACCGCCTAGAATTTTTCTGACTACCTAAGTATAACGATTTTAGTGATTCTGGGCTGGAGAGATGGCTCATGAGTTAAGAGCACTGACTGCTCTTGCAGAGGACCCGAGTTCCATTCCCAGCACCCACAAGGTGGCTAAGAACCGTCTGTAACTCCAGTTCCAGGGGAATTTGACCCTCTCTTCTGACCTCCATGGGCATTGCACGACACAGGTATACTTACATACACGCAGACAATATACTCATACACATAAAAATAATAAATAAAATTTTTTAATTCTAGTAATTCTATGAAACTCAGATGTTTATATCAATCTAGCCAACTTTTTAAGTTTTTCTTAAAATGAGAGAAAGTGTCTAAATAGTAGAAATTCTGCCTTTGTTTAGAACTGAACAAAAAAATATTACAGCATTGTATTTCTTTACTATATAAGGCCAAAACATGAGATTTTGTACCAAACTCTTTCCATTATTATGACAACTAGATGAAGCATTTGGCAGATTGGCTAGACCATTAAAGTAAGCCTTGCAAAGGTATTTTTATGTGATGAAAATACTCCTGATCTATACTGCATACATGTTGACCAACCCAAAAAGTTACATTTTGTTTTAGTCACACATTTGTTGATTTAACATAAGTAAACCATAGTAATCCAAATGGTCTTACAGACTGAGGAGAGGGTTATTTTCATGGAGAAAAACGTGTTGATTATACCCATCTAAATCCATTTTTCTGTTAATACCGCTAGATATTTATAGTATGAAGATGCAACTCACTGCTTAAGTAAACTTGCTTCTGCTGTTTGTTATAGAGGACTGACTTCTCCCAGTTAACCCTGGTCTCTCTGCTCCAGGCCAGGCAGTACATGCAGATGCTGCCAAAGGAAAAGCAGCCAGTGGCGGGTTCAGAGGGGGCGCAGTACCGGAAGAAGCAGCTAGCGAAGCAGCTCCCCGCACATGACCAGGACCCTTCTAAGTGCCATGAGTTGTCTCCCAAAGAGGTGAAGGAGATGGAGCAGTTTGTGAAGAAATACAAGAATGAGGCTCTGGGAGTTGGCGATGTCAAGCTTCCCTCTGAGATGAACAGTCAAGGTGACAAAGCACACATCCCCGGTGGGGACAGAAGCAGCCCCTCCCCAGCAGTGGTGGGTGCCAGGGACAAGTCTGCCGAGTCCAAGAAGACCCACTATGTGAGTAGACTAGTCACACTGTGTACTCAATTTTGTGTTTTGTGCGTTCTTTTTCTTTCTTAGAACTTTTGGGAGTGGGTCTGTTCCTCTGTTTCAAGATTTAATAGGTAAGAAAAAGAAACTGAATGAAAATCCAGTTTAGCCTTATCTTGAATCATTATGTTTGATATGTCTACTTGAAGCCAACTTTTGATTATTGCCAAGTATAATAGTGTTATGTGTTCACAGTTCACAGTTGCTTGAATATAACATACCAATCTAGCATCTGTTTCCAAACATAATTTTTGTGTCGATTGCTTATTTTTATGTATCTAATATGTTTCTCTAGTTTAATTACATTTGCTAATGTCAATGTAACATTAAGTGGTGATAATATCATTAAATATCTTTTTTCACTGACTTTAGAAAAAAAAATTTTAGTCCTTGTACATATACACCTTGCTTAACATTATGTATATAGATCATGGTAAGGAAGTATCCACTATTCCTATTTAACCTTTCTTATCAATTCCTGTATTGTTGAAGTTTTTTTTTCCTTTATATAAATTTTATTAAATTTGCTGACAGTTTCACACGTGTATAATGCATTCTGATTACTCTCAACCCTCCCTTCTCTCCCTCCACTCCTGTGTCACACACCCCACATGTCCCTTGCCTATATTCGTCTCTTTTTATTTTGTTTTGTCACCCACTGAGTTTATCCAGCACCCCTATGTGACCATAGGTTTGGAACTATCCCTTGGAGCTTGGTGGGTTCATCAGTGGGTACACAACTGAAGGCAGTGACTGCCCCTGCCCTGAATCCATCATTAACCCATAGCTCAGCAGGGAGGGTATGGCCCTGTGAGGCCCTCCCCAGTCTATGATTGACTGCTGACAGGCCAGTCTTGTACAGTCCCAGTGGAGGCAACTGCAGCTGCTTTGAGATCTTGATTGCAATGGCTGTGTCCAGAGGATGGCATTTCACAGCCCTTCCCCCTATCTTCTGGCTCTTACATTCTTTCCACCCTGTCTCCAACAGTGTTTCCTGAGCCTAAGAGGGTGGTGGCATAAATGTCCTGTTTAGGCCTGAGCACTAAACCATCTCTTATTCTCGGCTTATCCAACAGCTCTGAGTTCCTGCAGGTACTACCATTCATTGCAAAGAGATGCTTCTCCGATTAAGACTGACAGTAGCATTTGCCTACGGGTATAAACATAAATATTTAGAAGGCAGTTTGGCACTATGTCAAGTAACTACACAACAGTAGTTAGTTCCCCCTAGGGCCTAAGACCTCCTTAGCTATGGATTCTTGACTGGATTCGGTGCCTCAAATCCAGAGAGCTTATTTTTATATATAAATAAGAATAATATGTGCTTAGGTTAATTAGTTTTGCTTGTGAGACCATGCCTAAAATTCAGATTTAAATTTATGTGGCTATATTGGCAAGTATTACATTTTTTGATTTATTTATTTTTATTTTATGTGTATGAATGTTTTGCTTGCATGTATGTAAGAGTACCACCTGCATGCAATGCCTACAGAGGCCAGAGGCATGGGTGTCAGACACCCTGGATCCAGAGTTATGGATTATTATTAGCTGCACTGTGAGTGTTGGGAACTGAACCGGGTCCTCTGGAAGACTAGCAAGTGCTCATAAATGCTGAGCCACCTCTCCAGCCCCATTTTTTAAAAAGTCTCCTTTAGAGAGTATTTTTCTAATGACTTGAAAGTAGAAGAAAATTATGATGCAGATGAATGAAGTGTAAAAGCTGAGCCAATGTATTTCTCATAGACCCAATTAGCATATCAACTAATGGGACTTAATCCTAAAAAATATCACTAATAATATCTAAGATAATCATTTTTGAGAGGCCTCACATACAGTTGAAGTGAAAATTATTATTAACCTTTTCCCAATGAGTGTTTCTGTTCAGGAAACAATACCGTGTTACACAAAGTGTGAAAGAGGTCTCTGGGAGCAGCTAGAGGAAAGGTGGCGTTTCACAGAAGTGGTACTAGCACTACAGTCAGAATGACTGCCCTTGAGGTTGGCGTGCAAAGCGCCCATAAAGCAGATGCTGAGGGTGCCGGCATTCTCATGGCTTGTCTGGATCCTTCTCTTTAGTCCTGCTACTGCTGCAAAACGACCATGAAGGAAGGAGACCCAGCCATCTATGCCGAAAGGGCTGGCTATGACAAACTCTGGCACCCCGCCTGCTTCGTCTGCAGCACATGTGGCGAGCTGCTGGTTGACATGATTTATTTCTGGAAGAATGGGAAGCTGTACTGTGGCAGGCATTACTGTGACAGCGAGAAGCCCCGCTGTGCTGGCTGCGATGAGGTATGTTCTCCTGGGCCACCTGCCTGCAGCCTCGTGCTTGTCTGTGTCCCCACAGGGCCCCCTCACCCGGAAGGAACTGGAATTAACCAAGTGCTAATCATGCAAGAAAATTTTTAATTTTCTTTTTCATCTGGGTGTCTTGAGTTGATTAATGAAAGACTGTCAGAAATAAAAGCTTGATTTAAACAAATGATAGCAAATTCAAGCTTGATGTTACCATTTTCAAATGTTAAGGGCTAAGGTCTTTGATCCTGGAGAGCTAAATGCCTATCTAAAGAACCTAGCTTTGCCACCAAAGCATAAAGGAACATGCCTGATAGATTTTATTTTTCTCCTCTTGCCAGCTGATATTCAGCAATGAGTATACTCAGGCAGAAAACCAGAACTGGCATCTGAAACACTTTTGCTGCTTTGACTGTGACAACGTCCTGGCCGGAGAAATATATGTGATGGTCAATGACAAGCCTGTGTGCAAGCCTTGCTATGTGAAGAATCATGCTGTGGTAAGAAAACATGGGAACGCCCTTGCCTCAGCCTGCTCCAGGGCTTCAGCTTCTGCCTCTCTTGACACCTCCCAAAGTGGGAAGCAGAGAGCCTTCTTCCGACAGAGAAAGCATGTGATTGTTTCATAGGGTGTTTAAATGCAGACAATTCAAAACCCATGCATACACTAACTACCAGGCACTTCAGGATGGCTCATTCTACCTGTGTGTAGAATGCAAATTGTGTTTTACAATGCAAATTATATATACTGCTTGATAATAAAATCCTCAGTTAAAAAATTCTTAATGGTAGAGGGCTGGAGAGATGGCTCAGCGCTTAAGAACACTGGTTGTTCTTGCAGAAGACCTGGGTTCAAATCCCAGCACCCACATGGCAGCTAACAACTGTCCGTAACTCCAGTTCCAGGGGATCTGACAGCCTCTTCTGACCTCCACGGTCATTGCACAACATGAATGCACTTACCTACATGCAGGCAATACACGCATACATATAAAATAAAAATAATATTTTTTTTTTAAAATCCTTAATGGAGGGCTGGGCATGATAGCACACACCTTTAATCCCAGCACTTCAGAGGCAGATGCAGGTAGATCTCCATGAGATCAAGGCCAGCCTGCTCTGCATATCAAGTTCCAGGCCAGCTGGGGCTATAGAAGAGAGCTTGTCTCAGAAAAACAAAAACAAAACCAACAGCAACAAAAAATTGTTAATTGGAATGGATTTAATCTTGTTGGTGCAGATCAGATTCCATTTAAAACTGGTTTCTGTTCATGTTACTAGACCACCCACTAAGATATTTTTTGCTACCTGGAAATTATTGGTGACTGTTTCTTAAACCCTCATTGAATTGATGTAATGCAACAAAATTTGACCCATATATTTAGATTTATTATGTGGACCAGATGTCCAGGTGCTTAATGTGAGAGTGTAATATTTTTATTGGATCCATTGTGTTACACTGAGCTGCTGTTAGTACATGTGGCCAAGAGATGGGTGTTGTTGATACAGGGTAAAAAGATGACCATATATAGTAAGGCTTATAAGCCAGGAGGATCAGAAAGACAGTCTCTTACTTCTTTTTTAGCTTAGGGTCCCCCTGAGCTAATAATACATAGAGAAAACTCCTGACTAAGGAAGAAACTACCTGTATGTAGTTCTAAAAGTATGTAGCTTTGAAAACCAGACAAGGTTTTTTTTTTTTTTAATTACTTTTATTTTATGTGTTTGAGTATATTGCCTGCATGTGTGTAAGTGCACCCATGTCATACAATTCCCACAGAAGAAGAAGACGTTGGATTCCTCTGGAACTAGAGGTACAGATGGTTGTTAGCTTCCATGTGGGAATCGAACCCAAGGCCTCTGCAAGAGCAGCCGGTGCTCTTAACCACTGAGCTGTCTCTCCAGCACCCCAAAACAGAAGTTTTGATGCCTGCTGCTTTTCAGCCTTGACTCTTTGCCTCAGACACAGTCATTCATTGTCTACCAACTTGTCCCCATTGGGGTTCAGTTCCCAGCACCTACCTAATGGCTAACAACTGTCACTCCAGTTTCAGGGGATTAGATACCTTTATCTAGCCTCTGCCCCCATTGCATGATGGAGTGCACTTACATGAAGGCAAAACACTCAAAATGGTGCCACATCACACAATTGTAAAAGATCGAAAGATTAATAGGAAATATAGAAAACTTCAAGACAGTAGTTTTCTACAAGTTATTGCACTACAGAAGATCCATACCAAAGCAACTGTTTACTTGATGCAGCTGCTGATAAGGAGTGTGCTGATGGTTGTAACATTGATGTTTGTTATATTCAGGAGTCATGTCTGTATTATGCAAAGAAAGAATCCCAGTGAGGAAAGGGTGATATAACCTGTAGATTGCAGCCTCTAATAAGAAGCTGTGTAACACTAAACACTATGGGAAGTTGGGGCTGGAGAGATGACTCAGCAGTTAAGAGCACTGGCTGCTTTTGCAGAGGACCCAGGGCTCAGTGCCCAGCACTCACACATACGGTGTCTAACAACTGGCTGTAACTCCAGTTCCAGGGGATCTGACGCCCACTTCAGGCATCTGTGAGCATTGCATGACACATGTGCACTTGGATACATGCAGACACACCACTCATACACTTAAAAATAAATTAAACATTTTTTATAAGAATATGGGAAGTGTACTGCAGGTATGAAGTAGATATATGTAACAAGGCTTCGCTTCACTGCACAGTCAGTTTACCTACTGATTGGCAAGCATATTTTGATAGCTTTTCATCTGAGAAGGCTAAATGGCCCTCCCCCATTCATTCATCTCCACTGTTCAACTCAGTAACTCCTGATCATGAGACCAGGGGTGCTTAAGACTGGTCACTGTCATCTGGTACTGGACAACTTTATTGGCTTCTTGTTATAAGATATTTAAGACAAAGATTATAGATATTTTACATTTATTCAGATCAGATCATAAATAAATAAGAATGAGTGTGGGGGCTGGAGAGATGGCTCAGTGGTTAAGAACTGTCTGTTTTTGCAGAAGACCCAGGTTCACATCCCAGCACAGACATGGCAGCTATCAACTGTCCACAACTCCAGTTCCAGGGGAGCCGACGGCCTCTTCTGTCCTCCACAGGCATTGCATTACATGGGTGCACTTACCTACATGCAGGCAATACACACATACACATAACATAAAAATAATAAAATATTTTTAAAAAACTTCAAAACCCAAATTAAAAAAAAAATGCATGTGGACCATCTGGTGTTTTAGAGATCTCAATGGATTAGTTTTCAGTTTTCTGCTATAATGTAGATTTTTTTTCTGTTTTCTTTATATGCGTGTTCACTTAAGAAAATTGTAAGTGCATGTATATGTGTTTGCATCATTTGTATATTTGAGTATAGCACATACATAGATAATAATGAATAGTGGGTTGAGAATGTAGCTCAGCTAGTAGAGTGCTTGCCTAGCATACACAAAGCCCTGGGTTTGACCTCCAGCATAAACCAGGCGTGGTGGTGCACACCTATAACTGTGGCACTCAGGAGGTGGAAGGAGGACTGGCAAGAGTTTGAGTCCAATCCGAGACCTTATCTATAAAAACAAACAAAATAAATGATAAGGGTACATAAGTATTAATGTTCTGTCATATTAGATGATACATAAATTATGACTGACTTTATGACAGAAACTGGTTTACTACAAGTTTTATTTTTGATGTGAACTCATTATTCCCAAACATTATCAGTATTTTTAATTGAGTCCTTAATTACTTTCAATATGACTTTACTACTGTCTAGAAATTAGTGCTGTTGATAATCTCATGTGTCCTAGATAAGACCGGTGAAGTTCCATTTCAGTGCTTTAATGGGCAAGGAAAAATATCATCTTACAAACTTCTTTTTAATTACTGTTGTGTAGTGCAGTAAAAAAAAACCTGGCAACAAAAGCTTTGGAATTTGCAGTCAGAACTTCCCACTTCAAACACCAGAGGGACATCTTACAAGTATCAGTCACCTGTTTACCTTTCACCTGCTAACGTCTTGCCAAGTTCAGCATATAGGCCTGTGCTCACTAAAACGTTTAGCTAGAAGTTCACTCTCATTTGTGTATCTTTTTTTTTTTTTTTGAGACTGGGTCTCCCTGTATCCCCAGCTGCCCTGGAACTCCTGTAGACCAGGCTGACCTCAGTATCACAGAGATCCACCTGCTCTGCGTCCCAAGTGCTGGGATTAAAGCTGTGCGCCCCACACCCAGTTCACTTGTGTATTTTTCATGTTATCATTTGTTTTCAATTCATTTTACCATCTACATCTACAGATCAGTTTGCTCTTAGTTGAAGGTGTTACTGGCATAGTTTGTCTCTCACACTCTTCTACCTGTATTATTTATTCCTGTACAGGTGTGTCAAGGATGCCACAACGCCATCGACCCGGAAGTGCAGAGGGTGACCTACAATAACTTCAGCTGGCACGCGACCACAGATTGCTTCTTGTGCTCCTGCTGCAGCAAGTGTCTGATCGGGCAGAAGTTCATGCCTGTAGAGGGGATGGTTTTCTGTTCTGTGGAGTGTAAGAAGATGATGTCTTAGGAAGAGAGCACCAAGCAATAGTGAGCTAAGCCATAGCTGTCCAAAATGGTCTGCATTTCAAAATAAATAAATAAATAAAAGGAAAAAAAACTTATATAGTGAACCAGAGTATCTTGTCCAATATCTATCTTTGTTTTTTTTTTCTTATGAGTTTTTTCCTATTTTAATTTTGAAAGACTGCTGTGCATGTGATTTTAAAAACGGTAATAAATTTAGCTTTCATTAGCTTCATAAATATGCAGCATTTGAGCTGGAAGCTTGGGTTTAATTAATCTTCATACCTGTGTAACCCTGGTGCCAAAAACTTAAGTTTTAAGTGTAAAACTTAAAAGTTAGTATCCTGAATGGCGAAGTGCACTTTTTAACTTCTGTACCTGTAGTCATCATTCACATGTAAAATGAAAAGGAAATTAAATGTGCCCTGACAGCCAGCCTTTCCACTTAGCACTGATCTCACTGAACGTATAACGATGCGCAGAGGATTCCGTTTGACCCAAGGCGGCAGTGCAGTTTGTAGAGCCATATTCCAATGTCTATGCATTTGCCATCTCCTGCTTGAATCAGGGGCAGCCTTTTCTCGATGACATTTCTCTGTACCTTATTTACTCTACCTCTCAATACTCCTCTTTGTGAGCTTGTGATCTCCCTCTGTGGCCTTGAATATTTTCTTGTATGTGGTATAACACGTGCACTTTGCTTTTATAGACTTTGTCAAGACCATAAAAAGCCACACCATTCATTTATATTGTTTTCAATCCAAAGAATATGTATCATTTTTGTACCCCATAAAATATAACTTGTACTTACTTATTGCAGTTGCCTGCCAAGCTTTGAATCCATTTTTTTGCATGATTTTTGGTCTTATCTAATGGCCACATCTTGGCATGTTTGTAGATACATAGAATGTCTTCTTTCCTGTACCCTTCCATCCTTAGGTTGGAAAGCTTCTTTCCTTGGAAGCTTTCATACATGGCTATGCACTATAAATGTTAAATGGAATGAATATTATATATGTATATATTATTCAAAATAAAGTCTTTCACATTAATAATTGTCTTTTCCACATCCTTTTTGAATGAAAAAATCTGCAGTTAAGTTTCTGTCACAGCAGGGGGCGATGTCTCCAAGAATAAAACGACCAGTACAAAAATAAAGGCTACTTCTGACTGGACTGAGCAGAAACTAGATCCCACTGTAGAGAAAGATTAAGTTTCATGAAGGTTTAAGTCAGGACATTTTAAGTCATCTTCAGATCATGAAGATTTTTTGTTTTGTTTAGAAAAAAGTCTTGTTTTAGTTGAACTTTGAAAAAAGAATCAAGTACTTTGTTGTCCTTTTTGTTGTCATTTTCGGTTTTTCCTGAGACAGACTCTCACTAGGTAGCCCAGTGGCCTCAAACTCTAAATCTTCCCACCTCAGACTCCTGAGTGTTGGGACTGCAGGTGCATTACATCTTGCTGAACTGTAAAAATGGGCCTCCTGTACTTGAGTGGTTACTGTGTCTCTTAGTTCCTAAGGAATCTTTTTTTCTAGATTCTAGATTGTTAGCAGGCTTGTGGGTGGTTTTGTTTGATTTTTGGTTTTGGTTTGGTTTTATTGTTCTTCAGACGGAAGGGGCATTTTGTTTTGTTTTGTTTTTGATTTTGTTTTGAGATTGGGTCCCATGTATCCTAGGCTGGCCTCAAAATCACTGTGTAACCTAGGATGATTTTGAACTTGGATACGCCTGCATCTTCCTCCAGGTGCTAAGCTTACAAGTGTGTACACTGTGCCTGGTTTATGCTGTGCTGAGAATCAAACCCAGAGTTTTATGCATGTTAGGTAAACACATCCCCATTCCACAGTCTTGAATATTTCTTTCTTAGTAGTAGTTTACATTTTTTTCTTATGCATAATCAGGATACTTTGGTTTGGACTTTTGTTTTTATCAACTCCTGCTTTTTTGTCAATAATATTACACACGCACACACACAGAGTACATATACAGAAATAAATTGTATTCCCTTTCGCTATGCTTTCCCAACTGTGAAAAATTATATTTTAGAACTTAAACATCGCAGTGTTAAAAGGAGCAATATAATTCTGCATACAATTTTAACTGCTAATGGAATACTTTATACTTATTCTTTTGCCTTTGATATGTCAAATAGTAACATATTTTCAAGTCCATTTTATCTATAAAGTTGAATAATTTCTTTCCCAGGACATGGCAATGTGAGTATAAACTGGCGTGAAAGCCCCCCTCCACAGGGTCTGCCAGCCTGGCCCTCCTGCTCTGCTTCAAACTAAGAGAATTGGGCAGGTTTTGGGATACAGAAACCCAAGGGATGCCACTAAGAATGTCATTAACTGCTCAATAGAACATTACATGAATCTTACGCTGTGCCAAGGAAGAAACAGTGTTTGGGTGACATGAATCCAAAGTTGGGCTTGCCCCTGACTAGATTTAGTTGGCTCTTGAAGTACAAAAGTGTGAACTCTGTAGTTGAAGGGCACTCAAGGCCCCTGACCATTTTTACTGTTAGTTTTCAAGAAATGGCCAGTGGTTAAGAGTACTGGCTGCTCTTGCAGAGGACCTAGGTTTGGTTCCCAGCACCCACACGGCAGCTAACAACTGCCAGTGTTAATAATAATTAACATAATTCCAGTTCCAGGGGCTCCGGCATCCTCTTCTGGCCTCTGTGGGTACTGTATGCATGTGGTGCATTTATATACATTCAGGCAAACACCCATACACATAAAATATAACAATTTTTTTTAAACCTTTCAAAAACTTCCTCCTATAAGAGAGTAAGATGCTTATTAAATTCTATGAGATTACTTTTCCTCTAGTAGTCAGTAAACTCCCTTCAGGTTATATAGCAATTTCCTAGGAATAGAAATATATTCTCAAGGATGGGGGAGGCTCCTGAGGTTCCAAAAGCAAACAAACTGCAGTGTCTGAGGAAGCTGAACCTTAAAATACTCAGCAGGGCCCTCCCCAAGATTATAGAAGTGAGAAACAATCGCTGGAGGAAGAGACTAACCAGCCAAGCAGCAAGAAGTTTTCTTGGGCCTGTTGAGCTGCCTGCAAGTCATATAGAGCATTCCAAGGCTACAGCTCTGGTGACTTGTCATGCTTGTTAGGGTGGACTTTTGGTGATGCAGCTGCTGTTGAGTCATCCTGCTGCTGTCAGTACCCCCACACCTACACTCCTGTACGTAACCCCAATCTGAGTGGTTCCTCAAGTTGGACTTTGGTAGAAATGGTACTTTGATCTGTCATAGGTTCCCTATCTGACATCAGTAGATGTGTGTGCCATATCTCCCCAGGAAAAATCTCACACACAACACTCCTCAACCTTGTTTCATATCTTATATTCTTTATTGTCCTTCATTCTAAAAAATTGTTTTCTTGCCACAAAAGTCAACACTAAATCCTTCCCTTGCAATGGGTGAATAAATAGGGAAGTAAAAAGGTTTTATTTGGATTTGTGCATTTCTTTTTCAAAAAGTGAACAATGTACACTCTTAAAATTTTTGATCACCTCCTATTGCTCAAATAATAGAAGTTTCTCTAATCAGAATCTCATGTAAGTTCTATTCTCAGAAGCAGAATTTACACTTCTTTATGACCGGTACAACAGGCCTTTTGCCTGCACATCACTGCAGTTAGCAGGAGGGAGAGCCTCACTAGACGGGCGCGTAGAACCACTGCTAACACCTTAGGCAGGGATGGAGATGCCCACTTCCACACAAGCCACCATCATGGAGACTAAAAGACATGCCAGTGACCTCTGCTTTTCCTGTCCCCTGAACAGCAGTGGGAACCCAAAAGCAAAGGCTTCAGTGAGGAAAGAGAAGGGAGAGACTTCTTCCCTGAGACCCAAGAAATTCAAAAGATGTTGACACATCATCAGCTTCTGAAAGAGACTGAATCCAGTCATTTTGTATCCTTACTGAGAGGATCAGAGGACATGAGTTGGCTGTGCATGAACTTCTCGTGGAATCCACACGTGCTCTGTTCATCTCTAAATAGAAGGATCTTTGTTCATAGCCCTTGGATACAATTCTGATTTTGAGAAATTGATGGGATTTAGTTACTCAATCCCACTTAAGAAATCTAGCTTGCTCTAGTGGGTTGTTGCCTTCATATTTGTGACATGCCAGCTTATTCTTTTTTTCTAAAATGAGGGACTGCAGATTTTTTTTTCCTTTAATAAGCCCTAGATGAAGCATAGTAACTGAAGTCTTCAAGCATAGATTTCTAAATCTGACTCATATTTCGGCCAAATTTCACCAAAGCCTACAGAGATTCATCACTGAGTCACTCTTAAGCAATTTCTAACACGTAGTGTTTAAGCTCTTCCAACTTCACCATGGTTACCAAAGAGAAACCACCACCCAAGACTAGTGTTAAGTCTTTCTTTCCAGAAGCCCTGGCATATCTGAACTTGTCTTCTGTGTCTTCTATGTATGTCCTTAACTCCTTAGAAAACTTATGACTACTGAGGTCTCTATAAAAAAAGTACCTGATGGCCATTTCTTACCTGCTACCCAATTCTTACCTGCTCTTCCCAATCACTGCAGATTTATGTCTTCAATGTTAACTTATGATTTTACTGAAAGCTCACATATATGATAAAGGCACACTGCACTAGGTTATGTGTCAATTTTAGATACCTAGCAAACCTTAGGGTTTGATTAATAGAATCTTTTTTTTCATATGTTTACCAGACACTTAAATAGCTTTGGCTAATTATTTTGTCCTTTTGTGGGGAGCATGTCATTGTAGCTTTTATTTAATCTGATAATACATTTTGAAACACTCAAAACAAAATGCCATTAACCTTTATACTTGTTTTGAATGACATTTTGAATGACATTTCTAAAGGCTGTTATTGATTTTTCTTTAATGCTGCTTTTCCCCAGGATATATTGACCTTCAAACAATAACAAAAGCAACTCTACCCAGTTACCATTACTAGAGCCAGCCATTGTTGAATATAGACATGTTGGCATTTATTCCCCCTAAATATTGACCAGCTGAGAACTGTGCACACCATGGTATAGTTCAAAGGAATGATGGGTTTAAAAGTCTAAATGGATACTTGGCCAAATTCATTGATTCTCTTCTCCAGTTACAGCTGGACAAGATGGAGGACAGGAGTGTTGGATTTGAGGAGGATAGGAAAGCACAACCCAAGTGTTGTATGGACATCAATGAATATCTTGAGGTCATCACAATTGCCAACAAGAAAAGCAAGAACGCAACAGAGACTAACATTATCAAAGAATGTTCTGGATTTGATAGAGGATGGAATGGAAGCTCATACATATGCAAAGGATCCACTTCTCTGGGGCGTGTGGGAGTTTTAGCACACAACTCAACAAACACTGGTTTGATTAATAGAATTTTTTTCATATACTTACCAGATACTTAAATAGCTTTGGCTAATTAGTTTGCCCTTTCACTAGGAACATGTCATTGTAGCTTCTATTTAACCTGATAATTAATTTTGAAATATTCAAAACAAAATGGCATTGCATTAGGTGAAAAAGAAATGGGTGGTAAATTCTGAGGCCATGCATTAAACTTCAAAAAGTTGTGACTTTTATGAAAGAGAAAGGAACTAATGCAAATAAGAGAGAAAGGAGGCAGATACCTACCTTATAAGCTCTACAGCTTGCCTCCCTGGGAGAAAACAGGGTTCTACTGGAAAGGATTACAA